AATGGAAAAGCCTCAACCCATTTTGAGAAATAGTCTGTTGCAGTGAGAATGTACTGGACTTATAATGGACTTATGTGCCAAATAGATTTTAGTGCAAATCACATAAAAGCACTTATCTGAGAACTCTGGCGGCAAATCCTGCTCATCTTACCTTAAGGAACCTCGTATTACTAGCTGCTTCCCACTGTTCTTGTAATGGGGAGTCGGAGTGGATTTAAGGTACAGTGATACGTAAGTGCAGACTCGGTTCCCTTCGTTCGTAGCGACATACCAAAGAACCGTTCAAACGATTCGGATCGTTTGCGCCCGTCATACCACTAGAACAATGCCTGCGACGCCCTTTAAACAAATCGCAAACTAAGACCAAAAGTAAAGGATTTAAGGATTTATCGATGAATTGTTTGTTCATACTGGTGAACAACTTGGGCGCGTGCGGCAGCAAGTGCTTTCAGCACCGACCCATGGACGCAAAATATGTTTCTGAGGTTACACATCATGTTTGTTTTCTGTAAAGAATGTTATTTCTGAAGAAAACACATTTGAACATGTATGAAAAGCGACAAGTTGCATATTTTTCTTCCAGCTAAATTGTTAGTATAATAATCTGAGATCTGAAATGGTTTGAGAAACGAGGCATTTGTTTGTGCTACTGAAATTACCCCCGGCAGAAATGATTGAACAAATTGTACCGTTTAGCTGATTTCTTGTAATTACTTAAGTTATGTCTCGGAGACCGCAGTATCTTTGTTACCAGATATTATCACACGAGGGCGCCATTGGAGAAAAAGTCAAATCAATGTAAGCTTTTTTCCCCGTCGATGACAGCAGAAGCAGCAAATCCTGAGAATGCTTAACATAATTCCGTACATAATCATAACTTAGTTAAAACAAAAGACAGATACCTAGGGACGTAAGTGAAGCCTTACTAATCAGTATACAAAGATACCTTATTGGTGTCTAAACATGTTTCCACATGTAAAATCTTAACACCATGAACAAATTGAATATGAAGTATTCAGGATTTAAGTCATACTTAAAAACCATTGTTTTTTTAACATAGAACTTACGAAAGACCTAGTGGGGAAACGCACCCCAGTTCTCTAAAGCCACCTAATTCAAACACACCAATAAAGTAAAATTGGACATTAGTAGGCCCGGGAGGGGAGGCATATTGGGTCTGTTATGTCTTAGGCC